TTCTCTTTAAAAGCACTTCCAAAGTGGATTCCACCATCAAAGAAAGGCATAAAAGTGCGCCCTGTTTTGCTGCCTTACACCGCGTAACGATTCCCGCGTGACAGTGTTAACACTACTGTAAATATATGGATATCATATATGTGAACTACGGTTTTAAGTTATGAATATGAAAGCGATCTTCACAGTAATGAACACTTATTGAGCAGTAATGAAAATAGGGCCTGAAAAAAATTCATGCCTGTACGGGATTTAAATCCATAACCTCTGCGATACCGGTGCAGTGCTCTACCAACTGAACTAACAAGCCAATTGGGAGCTGACTACTATATTGGTCTCATACATAGATACATAGATTTACAGAGATATTTACATATGTACATAGATTCAGGTTAAGTTCGATTCTAAAGTTCAGGCTAAGGGTACAAAGCGTAAACATCTGCGCATGTCTCACCAGCATTATTGTACTCGGTATAATTAGCCAAGTCTTGCCCATACCATATTAAGAACTGCTGTCCAATCGACACAACCAGAGGGGTGGGGAGCAGGTTAAACACAAGCGTCGGGGAGCTGACACGAGCACGGTCAAGTTGGCACTTCCAAAGTGGACTCGACCATCAAAGAAAGGCATAAAAGTGCGCCCTATTTTGCCACCTTACGCCGCGTGACGATTCACGCGTGACAGTGTTTACACTACTTTAAATATGTGAATATCATATATGTGAACTACGGTTTTAAGCTATGAATATGAATGCGATCTTAACAGTAATGATTACTTCTTGAGCAGTAATGGAAATAAGGCCTAACAAAAATTCAGGCCTGTACGGGATTTAAATCCATAACCTCTGCGATACCGGTGCAGTACTTTACCAACTGAACTAACAAGCCAACTGGGAGCTGGCTACTATATTGGTCTCATACATAGATACATACATTTACAGAGATATTTACATATGTACATAGATTCAGGTTAAGTTCGATGCTAAAGTTCAGGTTAAGGGTACAAAGCGTAAACATCTGCGCATGTCTCACCAGCATTATTCAATTCGGTATAATTAGCCAAGTCTTGCCCATACCATATTAGGAACTGCTGTCCAATCGACACAACCAGAGGGGTGGGGAGCAGGTTAAACACAAGCGTCGGGGAGTTGACATGAGCACCGTCAAGTTGGTACCTATAGCCATCAACGCCTTTCACGAACTCAGCAAGTGGAAGAACAGTCTTGTTGCGGTAAGTTATCACCGTCAGTAGACTATGACGTCCGAAACCTGTGTATGAACATCCCCACTTTGTGGATTGGAGGTTAGTATTACATGTCACGGAGCCATATGTATGCACAAGTTTGAATGAGTAGATTTTACCGGCCTCTTGGATTTCAAAGGATCCAAAGGAGTCATTTTTTGTCCCAAAGCAGACAGGATCGGGGTTAATTTTTTTCCAGTTATCTGTCAAGAAAATCGGTAGGTTTTAAAAATGATGTTAGCAAGTCAGGTCAAAGAAAAGTTTTGATCAAAATAAAGAGTTTGTC